ATGAAATATTAGCACGTGCAGTTAAAAACAAATTTTAGTTCTAATACCTACAAAGAACTGTGATTTAAAATCAATAGTTAGTGCTGGAGAGCTATTACCTTAGAATGTCAGCTTTATGACCCATATTAGTCCAGAACAACATTTTGTATATTTTAAGTTAGAATGTCAGCTTTATGACCCATATTAGTCCGGAGCAACATATTGTATATATTATTAAGTCCCTCAATTGTGTAGTTTAGTATTTTCGACAGTTGGAATGCATGATAGATATCATAATCGTTTCAAAAAAACTAACATGGGGGCTTTGTGTATGCTTTGTTTAAATTGTTTATATGTTCTGATGAGGTTTATAATTTAATTTACTACAAGCTGTTTACATGCAAGTGTTCCTAAAACTCTAATATTTTGCAGATTTTTTGTCATTTCTTTAGAAAAAAGATTGTTGTTTAACATATTAAATTAATGTTTCAAAAATAAATAAAATGCAAGGTTAATATGTAGTTGGAGATAAAGGAAAAGGATTAATTACATGATTAGTTATCAAATAGCAATATTTTTATGTGACTAAATAGGTCGGTAAAAAAGTTTTGAAATTTGTACAAACTATTACTCAAAGCAGTATGAAGCCTTTTTATTTTTTAATAATTTCGTAACATTCACAAATTTAACTACAATTTAGAAGGTTTTTGTATCAATATTACAAAAAGGCTTCATTATTGTTTTGTATTTGATTTTACATTATTAATATTTGTTTTTAAAGAATATATTTAAATCAACATAGTTTAAGTACCTGCGTTGATGATAGTTTGACGGGACCAAAAGTGAACTTACATTATCTTAATAACTCAGCATATATACATACCTGTGGGATATATAGGAAGATTATTAAATTTTTACATCGACAAATGGGTAAAATGTAGTTAATTTTTGCTCGTGTTAGGAGGTTATATCACCCATGCACATGATACTAATATTTGGATATGAGATCATAGCGAAAAGCAAAGTTTTAAAGTGGCAATCGTGTAATTTAAAAAAGCCTATCGACAAACCATCGGTGATGTTAAACAATTCAAGGTACACTTATGTATGCATATATGGATCGATATTGATGGCATGACAATGGAGCACGTGCGTCAATCGGAAAACTTAGGGCAAATGTAAGGATATTTAACAATAGAGTGTTAGTGCGGACTCTACCTTAAAGTTGTTCCAATTACCGTATGTAACGCCTTAACGACCCTATGACGACAACCAACGGCTACTTATAGTAGCCTACTCATTTCCTGTGGTCTAACCATACCTTCAGCTCTTATTGCTTGGAGATAGACAGTAATTATATTCTTATCATACACGTGCGTTTGAATATATCGGGTGTTCGTCAACGTACAATCAACTTACCTTAAATCAATATGTAAGGTATAAGGACTCGGTGACCCCAAAATCTAAACTACATAGAAAAACAGTAGTAAGTTACCACCTTGTGTGTATATGTGTAGCGATTAGATCATCAAGAAAAAGTTGAGATGTATTGTTGCGCCGTGCAAGTACTCAATATAGATGTATCAATCTATACAGCAATAGCGCCGATGGATATCATCATCATTTGTGTTTTTAATGGTTTAACATAAAAAAGCAATTGCCAATTGCACCTATAAGTAGATACGAGATGTTACATAACCCCACCATCGGTTTACATATGAACAAATGAACGACTTTTATCAAAAACGTTTTTATTTTTACTAGTCCATTTTATGACATACGCATACAAATGTGTACAATAATGCAGTAAACAATTAAAATTTTTTTATACAACTACTCATTTAAAAACTACTACTTTTGCACCTCGCAGTGCTTGCCACTGTATTTCTTTAACTTACATGCGCACATCAAGTATAATTCGATGACTAATTTTATAAAACCGCCTTCGGGTTCGTTCACTTCAGAACTTGATGTCCTAGTCAACCACAAGTTCCGCACAGATGGACCCTGACATGCTAAGTTCAATTTGTAATTAACAAAGGTATAATTGAAATGCAAAAAATGGTGCATTGGCCTAATTTCTTTCACAAGGGACGACGGTTGCGAGTTTATCGATATAAATATTCGTCATCGTAAAAGATCGATATGCGCGCGCGTAAGTTTATCGGTCAGACTCAACACGTGCTTCTATAAGGGGATTGGCATATTTGCGCCACTCTTAGTCCAGTGCATTAGCTGCATCACGCTGAATTTAGCAACGCTTATAGTAAATCAATGATATAAATCAGTCCTAGCACGAATCGCACTTTTTATCGACGCAATGTAATATTATTATTGAGTATATAGGGACAAAGTAGCGAGTCCTTTACCTTTATCAAACTTATATCACCTTATGTATTTTCGTAAACACACCATCCCATTTCAAGGGTGATATTTTCTGTCGCATGACAAAATTGCGTGGCGATCCCATCATGAATTTTAGCATGTGGGTTTTGGCGATTTCAAGTTTACCGTAAAAGAGAATTTCAACGATCATACGACCAAGCAATATTTGCGTATCTGTGTAGGACTTATGGCACAACTGTCAGTGACGAATATATAATAAACTCAGTTCGTCAAAACAACAGAACCTTATGGACTATTTAAAGCCAGCGTTGCCAATTATCTTACAATAAGTCGCAGATGCTTGGCTCATATTTCGGCGGAGGTTTGACCACGCTCACTTCTCTTCAAGTACTTTTGCAAATATAGAAGAGACTCGCATACTTAAGGACATTATTAACATAATTGACAATAATGTGGTAGATAGCAAGCCACGGTATCTGCTTGAATCAATTTGATGCATGTCAAAGTCAGAAAAACTTATTTGTCTGACTCACATTCTGTGTTGTCGATCAGACTACGTGGGCGTATAGGCTGATTATAAGTTTTAAACTTGGTGCACAAAAAAATGCCACGTGCAAAATCATTGTAAGCTAAAGTATATGAAGCTTTCGCTCCAGCACATCAATCATACAATGGAGTACAAATTTACCAGATTCACATAAAGTGAACCGTTATTGGCTGGTCAATGCGGTTGTCATTTGAAAACTATTAAATGATTGAAATCGAAACAAACAGCGCTTAAGTAGTTATCAGTTGCTTTGAGTGCAAAACTTACACATGTTCGTGAATATAAAATAAATCTTACATAGACTCGGACTGACTCCTGGTAATGTCGATTGAGAGAGGTTTTGGTCAACGGGAGAACGATAAGCTCCACGGCAAATGATGTGAAGTTTTCGGCTACGCGATATATCAGCCATGGGCTGCTCCCCCGACAAAAATGTTCCCTCGTAGATTCATCACTCCGATGATTGTAACGGGGCACACCCTTGCGTGAACTTAACTCAAGGGTATCGGTGCCCCGACAGACGTACACGTGGCAAGCGAGGAATCGTAGGTAGGGTAAAAGCAGAACTGTTGTATAAATATAATTAAGTCTTTTGACTACTGTCTCTCTGTTTGACTTAACTTAATTATGTTAATATAACTGAGTGTATGGTGACGTCTCGTCACCACTCATTGCGCGCGTCTTGCGGCGATTGGTGGGTTGATATCATCAAGATATCAACCAATGAACAGACTCTTTGGTCGACCCTTCAATATCACCGCTTCGGTGATATTGTTAAAAGAATATCCAACTTCATATTCTTTATTGTCACTTTTCTCAAAGTGGCAATTCCATGTAACGGGCTGCCCCGTTACAATGATCGTCTACCTTTTCAAAAAGCGATCGTCAACATCTTTTTGCTGTGCAGATTACGATAATATATGTATGTATGTTAATGCCTTGCGATACACGCACTATGGCAGAGCTGCTTCAGCACGGAGATTTATTATAATGTTTAGCAAGTTGTTAAATATCTGCTTTTATAAAACCTATTTCAATACTACTAGCTTATACTATGAATCACTCGTTGATTGAGCATACTCTTCTTATTTGAGACTGCTTACCCACAATGCGTTAGGGTGTCTTTTTACATGCAGATTTCAGAACTAGATAATATATCTACACTGTAAAAATCTATCCGTAATGCAACATGCATTGCGTAACAACTTCTGTCGACGTTACCCGTGTCACCTGGTGTTAAACCTCAACCTTTTGGCCGCAATTATGTCCCTTTCAAATCTGTCACACTAGACGTATTAACAAGAGCACCCAAGTGCCCTCGATACGCCTTCAGCCTAGCACATTGTGTATTGTGGAGCAGTCTCCGCTATTTATCAGAGCGTGTCCTTGGACGAATGGCTACTTTGTTCGAGCGCAGCCCACCCAAAACCCTGTTGTCATATCAAGTTCTTGCTACCAGTGGCTCGGATCTTACGAGACAAAGACACAAGTTGGTGAATAAAGGTTAGCGCACACAACCAGTCTTTCTTTTAGTAGCTGCGGCAGCCGCTAGACAACAAGCAGACCCCTTGTCAAACTGCATGTGCATGCACAAATGGTGCAACGGGGATGTAGTGCGTACACTATGCACATGATCTGATGCACAATGCAATAAAGACATTTCAAAGTCGTTCTGGTCCGATCAGCTGTACCCAACAAATCAGTTGCACATGTTTGCCCGCTACGTTTTTGCACCACACACCCTCATTTCTACTTATTGCTACTATACATGTGCTTTCTTTATCTTCCTCCTTGACCAATGGCAGCTCACGTTAACTGGTCTAGACGGCGCATGTCCAGTGTCCGAAAGTGTGCACTAATTTATCTTTGATGGTGGTACGTTGTCACTTCAGGTTTGTTGATTATTGGCCAGTGTCCGAGAACAAGCTCTAAACTTGTGCAACTGTAACCTCGGAAAATTGGATCCTGTGTTGTCTGGCAGCAATGGACAGACAACGTCCAGACCAGTACAGCCTAAAGCTGGTGCACGGTGTTTCCCTCAGCGCTGGATGTGCCTCTTTAACACTTCATTTATCCTTTTGCGTTCTAGCACAAAGTACCTAGCCCTGACGCTACCCGTTCCATCGTCATGAAGGTCAGATACCTTCGTGCATTTGTCCTCCTTCACGTGCTGTCTGCCATGTGTAATAGCGCTTTGGGAGGCATTGGGTCACAGGCCGCGGCACCTGGTGCTCACGCGCTCGATCGCGAGACGGCGACGAGGCTACTGAAGACCCATGTTGACTTCTTGAACGAGCAAGAAGATCGAGGATGGAAGACACTTGACATCATGGGTATCGTCAACGGGTTTGCTCGTGATGAGGCGCTTAAGGTCTGTCGAGCAACCTCAGCCAGCTCGGCCTTCATCGCTCCCCCGGAAGGTGGATTCGTCCATGGTCAGTATTATCTGAATTCTAATAGGATCGTTGCTAATCTGGAGAACCTAGTTTCTGTGGCTTATGACCTTTTATTACATCACCCGCTCGAGCTGAAGAATCAGGCGCAGGTTAGCCAAATTTTCCAACAGATGCACAGTCTGAACCCGGCCCAAGTGACATTTGTGTTTCAAGCTGCGAAGAAGCTAACAGAGGCGAGTGCGTCCGTGGAAAAGATTGAAAAGGCTTTTCGAAATACGTTTCCACTAGCGACCCTGAATCCTGAGAGCGCAATATACTACACCCTTTTAGCTGCTCACGTTGGCGATCCCTTCATCATCGAAACCCGCAAGATCAAGGTGCAGCAACTCGAGCAAATTTCGCGTGAGATGTTCTCCACCTCCGCTCTCCCATCGAAAGAGTCGCTACCCTTCCTTCGTATCATGGAGCAGCTCAAGCATTTACCTTTCTTTGATGCGGTGGTTGTGGTTCAAGCTGCAAAGAAGACATACGAAACGAATACACTAGCTGAGAGGGCTAAAGAACAATTGTTCGGGTACGGCATCCGACAGAGAATTGATCCATCTTCGATCAGGCGGGTCTACACAAGTACAATAACTCCACCCAACTCGGCCAAATACAATAGCTATGTCGTAGAATTTGTTGAGGACTACGCAAAGGCGTACATTTAGAGGTTGGCGAGTAGTAATACATTGGACTCTCGGTTTTACCTGGATCAGCCCGCTTCATATTTCCACGTACATTGGTAATACACGTTACCATTATATTTTGTTCTTAAATTGTTCAAACTTAGCCCAGTGCACATTTAAGCTATCGGCTTGCCTGTGACGTTCGTGATAAAGTGTTTGTATCATCATACAAAAAAGTGTCTTGCGTTTGAGACGATTGATAGATTTCATACAAGATTCGATACCTGTGCCGGATAGAGGCAGACCAATTTCGCTTCTAAATGATAGACCTATTGGCTGTAACCTATTAGTGACTTAGTTTTGCGGCAGAATCCGTGATCGATCGTTCGTTCATTTAATACAAACGGTGTCGCTGGTCCTTGTTGGGTTAAATATGCTACTATATTGTCACTGTAATACTGTCAACGCTCGTTGCATTCACATTAGCAACTTTTATTTTATTTCGTAACGATCGTAAAGCCGAAACAGCGATTGCATCGAGACACTATAATCACCACTAATTGATGGTCAATGTTATGTCCCAAACTAAACACCAAAAAAATATGGTTCTTGTTGCACTAATGTACGTCGTAGGGATGCATTTGCCCGCTTCAAGTTATCTCTATTGTGCCACCAACATATCGGGTTCATTTCATCTCATTTTGCTAGCATCGACTAAGCATTGGACGCATCGATATATGCATACCTCTGCAAATATTTCTTTGCCATAATTGGGGCGAACGGCGCAACCGCAATTGTAAGTGCCCTCCACGAACTGTCGATTATGCCATCGATTTTACGGCATATCTCTTTGGGCAAGAGATGAAGATGTCATGCTGTTCACAACGTCATTTATGCGCCTAAAGCTGCTCTACCCTTATCCCGACTCTCAATCCCACGAGTCACTTTACCGTACAATCAATATATTATGGCATGTTGCCAAGATAAATTTCTGTTCACATAAAGAAATAAACGATAAAAATCGTTGTCGGCTACCTTAACTGTCTATTATTTGACCTTTATAGACCGGCTTAACACATCCTACAGTATATTAATTCGTCAACTTGTTTAGGCTGATTACATACTATCCAACACAGGTATAAAAGTAAAAGACTAAACAAGACAAGATACTGCTTAGCAAAACGTTCACGACCAGATCATACAAAAATCGACTATCATTTCCTCTTGAACAAACAGATTAAATTTAATAGAGGTCACGACGACAAATTTTTAGCCTTCCGTTACTTCCACAATTTCACTCATTTAACATGCTGACTTATGTTTACATTCGAATGTAGGATCGATGAACCCACCGCGACATTACCTCAGTAACCATATTAATTACAAAATGCCACGGACCGATCACTTGGCATAATAATTGATAAATTTTACGTGCCCATCAAGTAGTATTTTAATTTTTGTGTGTCTCATGAGCTACACATGGAAGATTAGATTGGTCTAAAACCTACAGGCAAAGTAGATCTATGAATTTTCATTGGTTGTAATAGAACAATATATTTTTATAATTGCCCGAATATAATTATCATCGCATGGTGCCTCTTCATGTCTGCAGACTATATTATGTGCTATCAGTTACCTTAAATAAATTATGATGCAAGTGCTAGCCTCCGAAAGCTTCTTTCAGTTAATTGGATGTTTAAAATGCCACCAACATTTGCCAATCCTCGCTCCCTCTATGCCTCTGTTCATAAAGGATGATATATATAAACAGTCCTTTTCAAGTATTCTAGAAAATTATTTACGTGCTATTTGAATATGAATCTGTTCGATCAATAATCATACCAGGCGCTAAAATAAAGACACATGGTAAATTATATATTAAGCTGCTATGCCTTAAACATATTACGTCAATTCTTCTATTGTGCAAATCAAGCCGCACGTCATTATCGAACATCCGATTGCGAGTTTCTTTGGAACTTATTTACTAAGCAACTACTGGCATAATAATTTTAAATTTGTTGTTGTTGCTATATTTTTGTGCATCTTTTTTTTATTTACTTAAAAATTAATATAATAGATTATCTTGGAGGAGTACAATATAAGATTTGCTAGCTGAGCTTATAATTTATTCAGCGTATTTACAAACCTTTAACTTATAGAAAACTGACTAATAAAGTAGCATGGTAGGTTATTGTATTTCGCATATGCAAGTGCATAATACAAACATCTATAGATTAGAATATCATTGCGCGCAAAAGACGGACCATGGAAAAAATATTGTTACGTTTAACAAGTCGATCGTGCGTGTTGACGGACAAATCGTTATATTTGCTACGACGACTACATATAATACGATGTATGGTGCAGTTTCACAGTAGGAAATATCGGCTATATCTCCCACATAGCTTCATAGGCTATTTTAGCGTTGTTAACCTGAATACACCGTTACTGTTCTTCAACAACAGTAACAATATGCGAACTCGACGTTCTTTGACCAAATAATGGCGGACGTCACGACCCCTCCTTAGACCAAATATTGACTTACATATAAAACACACGTATAAGACGATATTTACCTTTACCACTTTGAAATATGCTTCCAGCTTCATTTACTGCATATAAAGTTAACTATCGTGCGTAGGGGCGCCGAATCTGCTGCGGGCAATATGTCAATAAATTCAACGGAAATGTCTGAGATGTATAACAGTACTTACTTTAAAAGGCGACACAATATGTAAAAAGGTACACGCGGTACCTGGTAAAGAGACTTTTAAAACAGCGCTTTGTATTAGTATTAGCAGTATTTATTGAAGTACGTGGTGATGACGCGTAGCAAAAAGATTGATATTAAAATGGATAGTCATTGAGACATGTGCGCGTGTGTAATTAAATGACAATGTTGAATGACCATTGCTTAGATAATGATCATAAATTATTCTAAATGCTAATTGTTCGTTTCAGATGATGGAGAAATTGGCATAAGTTGATGACTTTATACCATGCATAGTATCATTGGTAATGATATATACAGCAGCGTGCTCTACATACGTCAACGGTTTTATGCGTAAAAACATCTTGCATGTACCGATATAAAATATCAAGCAAAGAATGCAAATGCGATCTTAAAAGACGAATGCTTATTATCCTACCATAATCTTAATATACCGTAGCTGTATAGGAATACGCATTCAAATATTATGCAGAATAGTTAAAAATTTAAAATTGCTCTACCATTAGGTGTAATTGGAGTCTGATCAATGTTCCGTTATATATCTTTTGCCGTGTCTACAAATTTTCTTGAAACAATTGTGTCGAATTGATAGTAAATCAGTATAGCGTCAGACCAAAACTGGAAAGATACTTTAAGGCATGGTGGAATTTTTAACTTGTAGCATATAGCTTACTCTTACGTGCTCTATAATCACCATAAATGTTGTCATTTATTTAAGTGTCTTCGCATACTTTAATGATGATAAAGCCGGACTTCTATGTCGCAATGATCGTGCCTTCTTGGGGGATTAATCCTAATTTATGTATTTTAAAGTCAAAAAAATTGATAAATATTGTTCAATTTTCAACTTTAATCCGTACTTGTGCATTTACAATGCTTTTATGGGCAAAGTATCTTTACTTAAATTTTGACGAAAATCGAAGTATGGCGAGAACTGGACTATTACCTCATTTTTTTATCCAAAACTATTTTATGTTTTGAGCATAGAAGAGTATAAATAAAACGTCCAACAAGTATACATATAGTATAATCGAAGAATGACATAGCTTCTATTGTATAGGAACTCGTATATGCTCACCCTGGTAAGGTTCTTGCCATTATAAATTCGACAATACCAAACTTAGCCAATGTATTGATAGTCATGTAAAAACAACCACGATTGTAATATAGCATTAAGCCGGTATCGAACCAATTAGGCGCTGCTTTACTCATTGGTCACTACAGGCCTGTTAGCCAGCCAAATATGTTGGCAATCGCTGATTGCCGCGCGCATCGGGGTTGATCCCGTAGATAGGTCTATTTTGCATAATCTGATTGAGCCAAGCTATTTATGTAGGCTGGCCTTATTCAAAAATGAAGCTGTATCCTCATAAAAAAATAAATAGTATAGAGGTAGAGAAATGCGCTAATTTATTAACTCATTAGCGTGAATAGATCATTTAAACATGAAAAAATTCCAGATGGAAAAATTCTACAGCTGTTCATTCGTTATGTACGTACACAAACATATGTACCTAGTTATAGCGTAAGGTTTTTAAAATGTTACTCTTAATCTTATACCTATAAAAAACCAAATTAATATATAGAGATCTTCCTGGGTGTTGCTAATGATATATGATATGAGCCTTTTCGATAAACATAAAACATTAGTCTTGCATTTATAAAAATTACTATATTTTATACCCTTAGTTCATCGCAAGCATTTATATCTTAATCGTCAATATACTTAAGCTGTAAATTGTTCTCATCTCGTCGCCGTGTATGATTTTTCTGACGTTTTGATAACATCATTGACGCTCGTTAAATAAATACACTTTCCTTTTTTTGCTTAGCGCATAAACTCATGAAATGTTCATATTCATCACCACAGAAACTAATACTCGATGTATAATGATTTCGCATATCAAACCAACGATAAAAATTAACATACTATTAAGCCAAAAAAACACCCCTCTGCGCTGGTTGAATGCAAAATACCTTAAAATTATAGTCTAAGGCAGAAGTTTTTCGTACTATTCGCTGTTATAGACTTGCTTTTGAACGTCATCACTACTTTTTTGTTATGTTGCTATATGTAATTATGTATTGTCCCGCATGATGTACTTTTGGCACAAACTCTCAGCAATAATGATTTAGAGCGCTGCAATAACATTATTTCAGCTACTTCGAATTTTTTTTGATTATAAATGCTTTTGCTGCTTATCTAATCCTCATGTTATGATATTTAAATAATGTTCCATATGCTTATTACGAAATGTCTACGCGACAATTATGTACGGCGATATCACTTCGTAAACCTTACTAGCGATAC